AGGAAGTGCCAGTGCTTAGAATGAGGGGGTCTCCAGGTGGTCTTATATTTGTCATTCTGTCTGAAGATAGTGTTTGTGATGACAAGACCATGCTTTTCACAGTTCCACAGGAGAAGGATGCCATTGCAATTGGCTTTCCACACTCCTTTCCCAGTGATGCCACTCCAGAGTTCCAGGTCACGTTACCTGTGGCATTGTAGACACCAAGGAGAATGATCTTGCCCTCCTTGGAAGTGTTTAGTCAGTATGTGATCAAGGTTGGAGTACTTCTTTGACATCATCAGCATCATGTTGAGGCAGGCACAGGGACTGTGGTGTACTGCTTATTGCTGATCTTAAGATGCAGGGGCATAAGATGTTCATTAAAGCCTACAGGGAGCTCAGTAAGTTGACTGACATGCTGATTCTTGATGGTGGAGCCAACGCCATGAATGCATCTGTCCTGGGCTGATTTCATGTTCTGGAAGAAGGTGTAGCCTCTACCCTCAGCTGACCCTCATCCAGTTGTCTCGTCTCACTCAGAGCTGCCCTTTTCCAGTCATCCAGGACCTCTCCTGTTTGCCGTGAGTTTTCAAAGATAATGGCTAGTGGCTCTGCAGTCACACTGGCCAACTCCCTCAGCACCCTCAGATGCATTGCACCTGGTCCCAGTTATATGTCCAGCTTTTCTAAATAGTCCCTAACCTGTTCTTTCACCACTGAAGCTTGCTTATCTTCTCCACAGTCTGTACTGCGAGGTGTAGTAGTCTGGGAGGTGACCTTGCCTGTGAAGACCAAGGTGAAAAAGGCATTGAATAGTACAGGGGTTGTCAGCTGGGTGTATCTGTACCCCTGCGGTACAGTAGACCCCTGACTTACGTGATTCCGACTTACGCATCTCGCGGCTACGCGATTTTTTTTTTTGTTATCATCTGGACTGGAAAATTCCCCTTGAGATGTGCATCATTTGTGTATACACGCGAATGCTTGCAAGATTCGCATATATACGTGAACACCTCGCAAGATTTGCAGACGGAATCAAGTGTAGCTGTGCCACTATAGTGGTAGCAGCATCTCAAACTGCATAGGTGAGGCACTAGATGCACCTCCTGAAGGCAATTCCACCAAAAAAGGGGGAAAAAAACTATGACTAAGGTATGTCTGGGGTACACAACCCCTCGCTGTTCTATTATTTCCTATGCGGAAAGTCGTCCTGACTTATGCAAATTAGACTTGCACAAAATTCCCCTGGAACGCAATACACGCATAAATCGGGGGTCTGCTGTACTTGGGAAGGCCCCAGGGGGTACATGGCAGTGGCATGGAAAAGCGGGGGTATTTGGGAAGCACTGTCACTGCTTCCAATGGCACTCAGGTTGTGGTGGCAGCAATGACAGCTGCAGGCGACGGTGATGGCAGCGGTTTCCCACTGCTGCGCGTCTACTTCATGTTTGGCAGCCAGGGGATGCTGCTCAGCGACCGGCCACCGGGCCCCACCCCCTTTCCACATCTGAAAGGGGGTACCCACCAGGAGGAGTACCCACTAGAAGGGGTGCTCTCCTTAAAAAACATTGAAAACCCCTGGAATAGTACTTCAGCCTTTTCCTCCTCATCTGTCATTAGGTTGCCTCCCCCATTCAGTAAGGGACCCACAATTTCCCTGACCTCCCTTTTGTTGCTAGCGTACTTGTGTAAACCCTTCTTGTTACCCTTCGCATCCCTTGCTAGCTGCAACTCCAATTGAGCTTTGGCCTTCCTGACTTCATCCCTGCATGTCCGAGAAGTAGTCTTATACTCCTCCTTAGTCATCTGCCCCAGCTTCTACATGTAAGCTTCCTTTTTGTGTTTAAGCTCGCTGAAGGGTTCTCTGCTAAGCCAAGCTGATCGCCTGCTATATTTGCTATTCTTCCTGCACATCAGGATGGCTTGTTCTTGTGCCCTCAGTAAGGTTTCTTTAAGATACAACCAGCTCATTACCAGTAATGTGGTAAAGAGGGATACATCACTTCTCATATCACAGTGATTCTCTACCAGGGTGTTGCATCACACTAGGATGCTGTGAGATACTTTTAGAGGTGGTGTGGGTCACCCTGTAATACTAGTACCTTGAGATGTGCCAACAGATGCACACAATTCACAAGTTAAACCCAGAGATTTCAAGTAGACATTCATACTATCAAAAACTTTCTGACCTCTTGTGGTCTTTCTGAGCTCTTTGCAACAGAAGACTTGCTCTATTTTTTTCCATACTCAAAAAGAGTGAAAGCAAAGAACTGGCATTTTCTGTGGATGCCTTCAGTCTAACAAGGGGTGTCTTTAGCCTAATGAGATTCACATAGGTCAGTGGTTCTCATTAGACTTTGCTTTTGACTCCTCCTCTAACAAACTTGAATGCGTGCCTCTACTGCTGCTTAGTGCTTTTCAAGGTAACCCTGGAAGTGAGAATTTCCTGATTCTTGTTTCCACTGTTGCCCTCAGATATGAATAATAGCAATGAAACCTGAAAGGTGTATTCTTGAAATCTCTTGGAAAGGCTGTAAGCAGCAAAGGCACTGCATCTGTCTGGCTGCAGATGAAGACAGAACAGTATGAATTATGTGCATTTATAAAGTAGCCCAGAATTAAAGGAAACTAGAATCCTACTAATTAACAAAACATATTAGATTATCGTGAACTTCTCCCTGCCATTACAGGATTATTCTTTGTTGTATGAATTCCTGTATTTGGATCCATGTGAACTTTCCCCTGTGTGGAGCTTCACTGAAGTCAGCTCAAGCATGGAGATTTGCTCATGCAAAGATGATGGCAGAACCAGGGTCCAGACAGGGAGCCTTGATTAAATAATGATGATGATTTGGTCATCTTTTTTTATTGAATGTTTAATTAATTATTTGAAGTGAGTATTGAGCACATGATTCATAAGCAAAAATAGACCGTTACAAATAGCAGTTTATGCCAGGCAGTCACTAGAGACCAAGATTGTTTTGCTGCTGTATTACCAAGATAAAACTTGCTGTAGTCCACTGAGAGTAACCAATGCTAATGACTGTTTTTATACTGTGCTAGAGAACTTTGTTGACATTTTTGCTGTGCTTAAAAATGTATATATTTTTGCAAAATAGATTAACTACATGTTCAGTATGTATTTGAACTTTTACATTGTGGTATGAAAACAAGAACATTTTTCCCTAAGGTAATGTGTTTCCAAGAGATGAAATAGTGGACACTGGTATTTTAAATACCCTGAATAATCCCTTATTTAAGTGGATGCTGTCAAGTCAAATTTTATCCCAGAATTTAGGCTTTATTAAAATTTGTATTCCAAAATTAAGACCAATAGATGTGTTTCTATGGACTTACTAGAAAAGCTTGGTGAAAAAAAGTTTTAATCCAGTCTTGTTTGACTTCTAAGTATGAGTAATTTAAATTCTGGTTAATATGAAATAGTTTTTAAGTGTCAAAAATAGAACATTGTGATTTTAATTTTTATTTGCTTTTATAATTATATTAGTCACACAAGCAAGGAAATCTGTGGTTTATATAAATGTGTAACCTTCACAATCTCCTTGTAAACCCTTGCTGCTCTTTTCCATCTGCAAGTAAAGTATATTAAGCTAGTAACAGTACATAGCTTATTTCCTTTTCTTGTTTCTCTGTTCTGTCTCTGTCAATTTGCTTCCCGCCAAAAGTAAGAGTGATTGGGCGAACTTGTGATTTATACTGTATTAAAAAAAAAAACTAAAGAGGTTCTTTTCAGTTCAAAAAATGAAAGAGGCATATGGGAAATTATTAATTCATTAATGCATCTGAAACTGGTGCTGCAGTTATTAATGACTGCATATGAAATATTAAATTTCATAAAATTACCTCAGCAGTTTTTTCAGCATGAGAATTTACCTTTTACCCAGTGTGAAATTAATTTAAAATAATGAATATAACATTGGACTGATTTTTGTCAGTGTGATGAGATCTTATGTTCAATTATTTTATAGGTCCCCTAGGGCAAACTTGTCCTGTTTCAAATAAATACACATACTGATTACAAGCTTTCTTTTTAAGAGAGAAAATGTTTATGTTTCTGAACCTCTTAAAAGTTCAGGGATTACCTTTTATCTCCTTCTCTACAAAAATCTTACAATATGGTGCTTGTTCAGTCTCTTAACTCCTGATATGACCTATGGCAACCCTACAGCTCCTGGATGTGGAGCACCATTTGGTGGCAGGGGACTTCAGCAACAGTTGTTTTCCCGTGCTGCCCTGGGGAAAAAGTGCTGGCTGCAGCTGGGTCCTAGTTCCCATCCTGTCTCTGATCTAAACTGGGTCAGTCTATCGTGCATCCTTAAAAGTTTGCTGACCACTGACCTAAGGATGACAAACTGCCCAAACTGTAGTCCTACTTTTCTTCAGGTTCACAGTTGCTCACACTACCTCCACAACATATCTAGAACATGCTAACCCAGAAACAGGGGTCCTTCTTGATGGCTTGTGTTACCACTAAGCCATCATCTCAGTTCAGATCAGTTTAGTATTAACATTATCATCTCTCACCAATATTCTTAGACCTTTTGAACTCTGTATTGACTACATTTATAGTAACATACACAGCCAATAATAAATTGCATGGATACCAGCCTGGAATTGTCCTTAAAATATTAATTGTAAAAAATTACTGTGATCTGACGCATTTAAATGGTGGCATATAAGAAAAATGTAGTAAATCAAGGCATCTGTTCTTTCCAATATGTTTGCAGTAGTAGAACTCAAAAACATACCAAGGGAGACGAGAGAGCTTTGAGCGATTCTTCTTTTTTTCTGATTAAAACTAATGCTTTGAATGTTTAATGTTATCAGGCCTTAATGGTTTTCTGGAGAGAGGAAGTATCTAAATTTTACTGTGCTATGTTTTAGTCTCTTGAATTTTTACGAGTTTTAAAATATAAAATACTGTTGCTACCATTACATCATAGGTAGATAATCTTTGTAAAGTATCCATACAACTAAAACAACTTTCTTTGTTCTAGATCAATGAACTGAGCCATGTTCAAATCCCTGTTATGTTGATGCCAGATGATTTCAAAGCATATTCGAAGATAAAGGTGGACAATCACCTTTTCAACAAGTAAGTGCAAGTAACAACCTTCGTTACAGATGGATAAAACTTCTGACAGCAATCAGTGATACCTTTACAAAGTTTTATAAATTCATTTTCCGCCACCCCACTTTTTCTCTCCTTTCTCCCCGCCAATGGATAGGAGTAAGGTTTTGATTAACTTCATCCTGTTATAAACAGCCATCTGCTTATATTTTAAAAAGCAACAACTGGGCTTACTGGGTAGTAGTTTTGTGCCACATGTTACATTAATGCCTGTGACTATCTTATACATTAAGAGATCTTCTCTTATGATGGGAATATCTAAAGTCTAGAAATATTTTTTTTAGTTAGTTTTAGGTGTATAAATCTGTAGTCATTTTTAATACTTGAATCAAATGGTTGAATATGAATAGAGATGGTGATAAGGAATGTGTCAAAAGTAAATTGTGGCTTTTATACAATTTCATGGCAAGAGTGATAAAATATTGACAACTATATCTTTTTTTTTTTTGCAGTACAATATGGAATTAGTTGGAAATTTACTTAAATGTAGAAAAATAATTTAATTTCTCCTCACTGAAGTAAATTTAGTAACTGTGTTGGCTGTTAAATAACAGGATGTACATTTTTAATGAAGTGGTTTAAACTACTTTAGAGAAGAAGGATCTAAAAGCAAAGTTCAAATTAAAATGATTTTTTTTCTAGGTGTGATATTTGAAGTTAATGACAGGTTTTAAAACTAGTTCAAAACAAGTTAGGATTTTGCTTGTGGAGCATACTTAGGGTAAAGGAAAGAATATCTTTGTTTGGGGGGTTTTTGAGACTTGATGTGGAGATTTGTCAATGCAGTATTTATGTGTGTATTCCATCCAGATTTGGCAATAGCAAACCTGTGTGTGTGTGTGTGTGTGTGTGTGTGTGTGTGT